AGAAGGAGGACGAGGACGAGGAGGAAAAGGAGGAGGAGGAGGAGGAAAAGGGGTGGAGGGAAGAGGAAAAGGAGGAGGAGGAGGAGGAGGAAGGAGGAGGTAGGAGGAAGGAGGGAGGAGCAGGAGGAGGGAGGAGGGAGGAGGGAGGAGGGAGGGAGGGAGGGAGGAGGGGAGGAGGATGAGGAGGAAGAGGAAAAGGAGCAGGAGGAGAAGGAGGAACAACAGAGGAGTTGAAGTTTGAAGAAGAAAATGATGGTAATAGCAGAGGGAGGCGGGAAGAATAATGGAGACGGGGGGAGGAAGAAGTGGGAATTGGGGAGAGGATGGGGAGAAGAATGGGGAGATGGGTGGGTAGATGGTAGAATGGCGAGGGCGAGCTGGAAGATGCAGGGAACTACATTTTCGTAGCCGAACTGCGACGCGGCCACGGAGCGCGTCTAGCTCGGATAACGTTGCGCAACGGACAACAGGACATGCATGCATGACCGAAAGGAAGCTGACGCCGCATCGCCTTGATTCGGTTCCGGGCGACAGAAGGGCCACGGAGCCCCAAGCGAGTGATCTCAGCAGGCTCCTCAATTTGGGCCGATACTGCCTTCCAATCGATGTCGCCGCCTGCCTCGTGTATCCAGCAGCGGAAGAAAGCCGTCACGCGCAATATCCAATACGTCGCGAGCGCTATCGCGGCCTCGTCGCCGCACGCTGCTGCACTCAGCGTGCAAGACCGAGGAAGGTCAGAGGCTAAGCAGAAACCAGCTGGCGCGCCCGAACGAGTTTGGACGCAGGCGCCGTCGTAGGCCACCCCATGGTGTTCGAGTAGCCACTTGCCACCGCGGACAGTCAAGTAGAACGGATCCGCGCGATCTCCGTCGCCGCCGATGGATGTCGTCGCGGGCGTCCCACAACTCAACTGGGGCATCGTCATCCACAACAGCATGTAGTTCGTCTGCTCGTTCCGCTCTTGGCGCATCAGAACCGCGAGTGGGGCGAGGCTCTTCTGCGGGATCACGGATGTGCTCCCACATGAACTCTTCAGTCACATGAGGCTCCCAGGTGATGTCGGGAGCGGCCGCGCGAGAGCGGCTGCGCACAGGCGCGTCTTTCTCTTGTCGGTACCACCAGCAAGCCTTTGATATCGGCAACCAATCGGCGTCTGAGCGCGAAAGTCTATCTGCTCCTCTGGACACATCATGCAAAACCATCACGTTCGTGGCGTTGCGCAAACGTAAGTCATCGGAGAACATGAAAGATGTACTGGTCCACTTGAACGTGTGTTTCCAGACGTCGAATTAAGCATTCTGAAACACCTCGGCCCCGAACCATGGCTCCCGAATGTCTTCCGCAGTCGATTGCGGCGCGCGGCGCCGTCGCGCCCGCCCGCGCTTGCTGGGCGACGCTCTCAATCGCGAAGACCGTGCGATCACGCGCGCACCGCCATTGCCGCCCTGGTGTGTCAGCGGCCCGTGCGGTCGTGCGTGCTCCGCGCTGCTGCGGGCGCGTTTGCACTCGCGACGGCGCGGCGCAGCGCGCGCGAAGCTCTTTGCGCGCGACTTTCGCACCGGGGCAAACGACTCCGCCCCAGCCACCAGCGTGCCATTTCACATCTCTCGGGGCAGGCGGCGGAGCGAGCGGATTCGTGGCGGGCATGGATTTCTCGCGAGACGGTGTTCGCGCGAAGTTCGCCGCGTGGTTGGCCCGAGAGCGCGGCGACCTTGCGAGGAGGAAAAATCATGGAATTGTTTTGCGTGCCGGTCAGAGCTGACCAGTAGACGCCGCCGAAGTCCAGGAGCTCATGCCATATTCCCGATCTCCCCAAATATAACGATATAGATAAATTACCATCTACAGGTGGCGGGATGGCAGGGCTCAGGAAAAGCCCAATCCAAGTTTGGATATCATTCCCATCTGGTTTCCAAATAGATCCTTCTTCCATCTCCTTGAAATTCCGATCTGCGCGGCCCAGGGAGTCGCCCCGGCACATGTCATCGTCGCCCGGGCCGTGGTGCAGCCCTGGGTGATCCTAAAACTCGTGCCCGATCGTGGCCTTGTCAGCCGATCGCCGAAGCCATCCAGGCGGGATACGATAGCCTGACTCGCGCAACGTGGCCCCTGACCGAATAGAACCAGACCAAAGCGCGCGGAGAGCGCGCTCGAACCGAGGATGTGGGACGGGAGCTTGACCACCCCGACGCACCTCCCCATGAATCTTCACCCATCTGATCCCACCTCCCGCGCGCGTGTCCTGGTGGCGCTCCAGAATTCTAGCTCCTGGCCGTCTTGCAGTGCCCTGCCTTGCGAGTTTCAGGAGGTCCTCGGGGGGATCTCTGCTGCGTCGAACTCGCGGCCCATGTCGCCGACGAGGCCCGCGGCAGAATCCGCGCCGCATCCTACGCATCCGAGCGGAAGCCAAAACACGGAAGTAGGCCCCTTTGCAGTTTCCCAGGAGAGATTGTCAGATCATTCGGGTTTGTCATGGCGCCAACCTCGCAGAGCGGATTTCGTTCGGAGAACGGCAGGATGGGCCCGGAGTGTCGTGTGGATAATTTCGCCTTGGGTTTCGAAGTGAATATCGCGCGGTTTTTTGGGGGCCAGGAATGAAGACAAAACACATCCACGCGGAATGCACTTCGACTTTCGCTCGCCGTTCCGGGGTTTTGCATTGACGGAAATGCGCTCACAAATCCGCCGCAGCACCTCTGCACGGTCGGCGCAAGGAGTCTTGTAGAGGCATCCAAGCCCGCTGCAGTTTCCCAAGGCCCACCCTGTGACCCAAGACAAACGAGACGTAGGCGCTCAAGGGGCCCATCGTGGCCTCTCACGCGGGGTCGAGCCTGGGGTCTGCCTGCGTGGCCCCCAAAAAAAAATGACAGAACAAGGCGACGTAACGCTGCGCCCGCATAGCATGCGAGCAGTCCGTCGCAACTTTGCCAGCTTTCTGGCCACTAATGCCCGCGACCGCGGATCCGTGCTCTCCAGTGAGAGGGCGCTTCTCTTCGGGGGGTGGGGGGCGCGCCGTCCCGCTCCACGGCGCAGCATATTCGTGGACGAGGCGCTCAATCCGCAAGCTGAGCGAGTCGACGCTTGGCTAGCTGTCGCATTGGCACCACTCCAAGCAACTCACGGCACAGTTTCTTTACCCATCTTTTACATGATAGCTTGAAACTGTTGGCCACTTTCTTGAACCTCTAGAGCCCCTGGTAGGCATTGGCAACCCATTTGGGTTCCGCAATCTGAAGCTGGAGCCCTCCGTGTTTGACGAAGCTCCTGGCGCCTACCATGAGCTCTGCCGAGTCCCCTCCTGCGGGCCCAATGCACTGGGGCGCTCTTTCATCCGCGAGGGCCTTCCTGGTCACGTTGGGACACCACTGGTGGGCCTTCTTGATGAACCTGTAAGTCGAGATGGTGACGAGGGTGGTGGCGCGCGCACATGCAGCTAAGCTGCCCTGGTATACCGTCGCCAGCTTGCCCCACCAACCAAACGCCTTGATAACCCGAGGTGTAGCGTAGCTTCCGGTCAACATCCAATGCGTACAAAGAGGGAAGCGCAGGCGAAGAGCTCCATCTATTGGGGTTGGGAAAAGCGTTTCGACACATTTTCACATATCCAGGATGACCGTCACCGAGTTTTCTCCTAGAGCAGCCGCCACTTCAGCATGCAAGTTGTATTCGAATGCCGGTTAGCTAGACGAACAGTTCCGACGATTCCCCCAGATCAATCGACTCCCATGTCTGTGTACCTGTTCGCATGATGTGGGCCTCCTGGCCTTGGCCCAGAGACTGACTAGGCTCTCGACTCGGGTGAGGAGATGTGCACTTCCATCAGGCTTTCCAGCTCTCACCATGACATTACTAGTACGAGGAAGAGGGCTACGCCAGCATACCCTCGGATTTGGCATATCGCGTGCGCAAGGTCATGAGGCCAGCATCCGATGACTGGGCAAAGGCGCGGGGAGGAACACGCGCGGGCCCCACCGCCGTCTTCCGCGCGGAAGGGGGGAGCGGCACGCTGCAGGTCCTCAGGATGCGGCCGCGGCAGTTGATCCCAATTTCTATATGGTCCCGTGGCTTCTCGGTCTGGCCGGTGGCGACGACGATGCCAAGGTTGTAATTGCTGGTAGCGATGACGAGGACGACGGCGACGACGTTGTCGTTGTCGTCATCTTCATCGTGTTCGTCATCGTCATCGTCATCGTCGTCGTCATCGTCGTCGTCGTCTTCAGCCCATGCCAGCTTCACGCTTCATGCCAACCGTTCATGCCAAACGCCAGTCGGTAAGGCTGGGCACGCTCCGCATACCAAACCCCCGCCTCCCTCCTACACCTTGAGCCTGGACGCCCTGTGAGGCGGTCTTGTTCCATGCGAGACTGGTGCATTGACCCATTTCTTCAATTCCGCATCTGCCTGCGTTTTGGCTCTGCCTCAAGTAGTCGTCTGCGGTCGCCACAATCCAGTACACTCATCGTTCGAAGGCATCTCCGAGAAACCGTTCCAAGCGAGCATCAACGAAACACTTGGTATCTTCACCCGCCATACGAGAAGAGGAGGAGGACGAGCAGGAGGAGGGGGAAGAGGAGGAAGAAGATGAAGAGGAGGAGGAGGAGGAAAAGGGGGAGGAGGTTGAGGAGGAGGAGGTGGATGAGGAGGGGGAGGGGGAGGGGATCCAGTGTGTATCAGCAAGCGGCCGAGGAAGCCAACGGTACCAGGAGAACGGATTACGCGAGCTGGACCGTCGGGTTTTTTTTCCGACATCTCCCGCTCCTCTTGCGCGGCGATTTCGACTTCTGGGTGGCTCGTACCAGCACCAGGATTTAGCAAAACATTGAGCAACACAGTTCGCAAAACATTTCGCCAGGATTTAGCAAAACCAGGATTTAGCGAAACTTGGGAGAGAGAGGCGGGCAAAGGGAGAGGGACAGAGGAGGGGACGGCCCACCTTCTTGGCGGCTCTTTGGCGACTGGGTCCGCGCACGGTCGTTGGCCTCCCGAGACGATGCGTGTGCATGGCTCCCGAGGCCATCACCGCTTTCAAGTTTGGCCCAATCAGATCACCCTGACCGCCGAACATAGGCCCCTTGGTGTAAAACGGCTGATGATGAGGATGCTGATGATGATGATGATGATGAGGAGGAGGAGGAGGAGGAGGAGGAACATGAGAATGAGGATGAGGACGCTGATGATGATGATGATGACGATGATGACCATGCTCATGATGATGATGATGATGATGATGATGGTGGTGATGGTGATGATGATGATGATGATGATGATGATGATGATGATGATGATGGTGATGATGATGATGATGATGATGATGATGATGATGATGATGATGATGATGGTGATGACGACGATGATGAGGATGACGATGATGATGATGATGATGATGATGATGACGATGATGCTGATGATGATGATGATGACGACGAATGATGACGATGATGATGATGAGGAGGAGGAGGAGGAAGCGGAGGACGAGGAGTGCCGAGGGAGGGTTCCTCCTGCCCTCACTCTCCCTCTCGCCCACCCCGGCTTATGCTCTTCCTCCCCACCTCGTCCCCGTCGTCGTCGTCACCGTCTGCGTCGTCGCTGTCGTCGGCACCGCCACAGCCGTCGTCGTCACCGTTGCCGCCGCCTCCACACTGTGGCTGCTGTCCTTCCTCATCCTCGTCGCCGGCGCCGTCGCTGTCCCCACTGTCGCCGCCGCCGCCATCGCCATCGCGCCGTCGCCGTCGCCGCCGCTGCCGCCGCCGCCGTCGCCGTTGCCGTCGCCGTCGCCGTCGTGGTGTTCGTCATGTTCGTCGTGTTCGTCGCCGTTGCCGTCGCCGTCGCCGTCGTCGCCGTCGCCGTCCTCGCCGCCGCCGTCCTCGTCGTCGTCGTCGTCGTCGGCGATTGCACTCTGGCTTCCCCTTCCCTCCCCCACATCATCCTCACGCTCCTTCACAAAGCTCCTCGCGGCCCTCCGCCGCCGCGGTCGTCGCCGTCGTCGTCCCAACCAGGGTCCGCCCAAAGTCCTCCCGCAACCGGTCCTCAGAGCCCCGGATCATCAGGGCTGGGGGCGGTCAGGGATAGTTGCAGATTCGCGCCTCGGGGGCCCAGACCAGAGTTCCCCCGGACCGCAGCTATCCTGGATAACTCGTGCGCCCAGCCCTCCCGAGTCATCAGGGCTGAGGGCCCAAGCAGGAGTTAGCCCCTACAGCAGTTATCCCAGATGAGTCGGGCGTCCGATTTCCCGGGGCCCATCCTGACCTGTTTCCCGAGCCGCGCCCCGCCGTGGCGGCGAGGACCTCCACAATCATGAACAAAACCTCCGAAACGACGACGTCAACGTCGTCGACGTCAGCGTCGTCGTCGTCGTCGTCGCTGTCCTCCCTCAACATCGGCCCCCAGGCCTTTCCCAGGGGCGCGCTCTAACTCGAATTTCTAGGCGGATCCAGCCATGTCGGCGATGAGCCCCACGGAGTCCGATAATGGGCGGACACAACGCCCAAAGACCCCGAACCTCGAACCTGGCCGCCGCCGCGGTCGCCGTCGCCGCCGCCGCGGTCGCCCTCGCCGCCCTCGACGGCAGTGGCGGCGGTGGCGACCGCGGCTGCGGCGAGGGCGACGACGACCGACGATCGGTCGCCGATCGTCGATTGGTCGCCGACGGCGGTGGCGACGCAGGCGGCGGCGGCGACGCCGCCGCCGCCCGAGGAGCCCGGGCACCTCCGCGGCGTGCTGGCCGACCGGGGCGCCCGCGTGCCCGTCGACTTCGCGGCGGCGGCGGGCCCCGCGGCGGCGCTGCGAGGGGGTCGCCCGCCCCCGGGGGGCGTCGATCGCCGGTCGTCGATCGGTGGCGACGCCGACGCGTCTTCCTCATGTTCCTTCTTCTCCTCCTCCTCCTCCTCCTCCTCCTCCTCCTCCTTCTCCTCCTCCTCTTCCTCGTCCTCCTTCTCCTCGTCACCCCTCCTCCTCTTCCTCCTCGTCCTCCTCCTCCTTGTTCTCCTTCTCGTCCTCCTCCTCTTCGTCTCCTCTGCCTCCTCCTCCTCCTCCCTCTCTCCTCCTCCTTCTCCTCCTCCTTCTCCTCCTCCTCCTCCTCCTCCTTCCCCTCTCTCCTCCTCCTCTCCTCCTCCTCCTCCTCCTCCTCCTCCTCCCTCCTCCTCCTCCTCCTCCTCCTCCTCCTCCTCCCCCTCTTTCTCCTCCTCCTCCTCCTCCTCCTTCTCCTCCTTCTCGTTCAGTCGCTTTCGATCAAGCTCGGGTCGCTGGCGTCGTTGGGCCCCTCCCGCTCTTTCCCCTCGTTCGCCTCCCCCCTCCTCCGCTCCGCCGCGGTGGCTGCCCTTGCCGAGGCGGGCGACGCAGTCGCGCCCGCCGCCGTGGGGTCGTCCATGGCGTGCCGGGCGCCTCCGGGCTGCTGGTTGGGCCGGCAGCCTGTGCGTCCGCCCGCCGCGGGCAGCCCCTCCTTCGGTATCGTTTAACCGATCCCCATGCCCACCCCCATCCCCTTCGAGACCCCCATCAGATTACCGCCCCAGTTGGGGATGTACCCCTCGAAACCCGAAGGGGACGGCCTATATCCCCATCTAGGGGGGTAAATCGGCCAAAGGGGCCCAGGCCACGCCGCTGGGGATGGGGTTCGGTTAAACGATATTCACTCCTGCCGCCAGCCTGCCGGGGGTCCGCCTGGCTGGTGAGGCGGCTCGTGGAGGCCACCGTCGCCGCAGGGCGCTGCTGAGCACTGCTCTCCCAATAATCGCAGCTCTCGCTCGTGGCGATGCCGCCCGCGACCCTCTCTGCTTCGAGTAGGGGATCGACTGCCCCAAAATTGATTGTCCCGCCGGATCTACGAAACAGAAAGTATACTGTCCTGCAGATATACGATCATTCTACGCTGTGTTTTTCCATGTATCCAGCGGGCAAATCAAGGTCAGGGTAAATAAATTCTGTAGTCGATCCCCTACTCGATTGCTGGTCTCCCGCACTTGGTGCGCGGTGGCACACGGATGCACAACGCCCTGGCGGTTGCGGTTCGGAGGCTAGAGGCCGGAGGCTTGGCGGTGCGGGATCGCCCCCGCGGGCGGTTCCCTGGCCGAAGGGCGCCCCATCTGCGCAGAGCTGGGGTTCCGCTGAAACCGCTGGTGGGGCCACACGGGTTCCGGGTGATCCACATGCACCAGAGGGCGTCATCGTGGACGCTGGTCATAAGGACGCTGACGATCTGGACGGGTTCTGGCTCCACGTCGTGCTCTCGAGGGCGGCAACGTCGGACAGCCACTTCATGATCCACGATCCAGGGCGTGGCCCGAAAACCCCCCGCCGCTGGCGTCCCCCCGCCCCGCACACACCGTGGTGCGCAGGGGGTGGGGGGGCCAGGGCACTCAAGCCTTCGGGTGACTAGTGTGGTGCCCCGCAGGAAGGAGTTGTCCCCCTGTGCCTCCCTCCTGGCCCCCCCGAGAGGGGCCCCTCTTCTTGAAGGTGTCTCGGAGTTGAAGGCAACACGGAGGAGGAGGAGGAGGAGGAGGAGGAGGAGGAGGAGGTAATTCAGCTTGGTGTTGCTGCGGGCAAAGGGTTCCAGCAGGTTGCGCGTGCACTCGGTGCTACCATGGACGATCAGCTAGCGATCGTTGGCAGCGTGAGCGGGCTTGCTGACGAAGCGGCGCGGCGCCTGGAGGTGCTTCGGGAGGCGTCGAAGCGTTCGACCCATTACGTTGCGCGGACTTTGCTGCAAGTCGCTAAAGAGGATCTGCTCATGTTCGAACCAAGCAGAAGGGGCGCCTCCAGCGGTTCATGCTTCGACGGAAAAAGCTGGCCCGCTAAAAGTGCGCGCTCCCAGTGCTGAAGAATGCTCGCGTGGGCAAAGTGTTCAGCCTCACCTACGGGATCGAGATCAGCGGCATGACGCGCGCCGAGCTTTTCGCTCTTCGCAGGGAGTACGGACGTACGTCAAGCCGTACCGCGGGGGCGTCTTGGCGGGCGCCGAGCTGGTCCTCGAGGGGGACCCCGCCGCCCGGCAGGCGGTGGCGCCAGCGCTTCAGTGGTTGCGGATGGTCTGGGTGGCGGTCGTCAGTCCAGAGAGCGCGTTCGCATCGTTGGGGGCGCTCCGTGCCTGGTGGCAGCAGGCTCTCGGCAGACGGCAGCTCAAAGACCTGCAGTGGCGGACCTCCAGAGGGCCACTGGAGCGCACGGCCCTGCGCGTTCGTCGGGTGGGCTGGACGGTGGTTTCCCCCACGACGTTGCGCGACCGCCGCGGGACTGCAATCCCGCTGGAGCAGCTGACGCCTGGCGTCCTCGAGGTGCTCCCGACGGCGGCGCTACAGCGGCAGCGCGAGCTCGCGCTGGCGGAGCAGTGGCAGCGCTTGCCTGGGGCCAGGGTCTCGTTCGACCTGCTGCGACCGCTGGCACGGGCCAAGAGCTCCAAGTACATGCGCTACCAGACGTTCCTAGTGAAGAGCATGGCGTGTGGAGGCTGCTGGACTCGTGAACGCGCTCGGCTGCGCGGTTGCGGGACCAGCGGGAAGTGCGACTACGGCCGCACCGACACCCTGCAGCACCGCCTGTACACTTGCACGAGGTGGTGCAGTCCAGTGCCGAGTCCGAGGTCTCCGAGAGCTTCATCCAGCGCGGCGCTGACTGCGGCTTCGGGCACTCCCTCCTCATCCGGAGCTGCTTCGAGTATGCGGATGCCGATCTGCCGCCGCTCGCTCCTGGGCACGAGGCATGAATCGCTGATGCCGATGGGCAGCTGGTCGACATCGAGGCGGAGGAGACGGTGAACTACTCCTGCCCCGACGCCGCGTCGATCGAGCTCGCCGCCGACGGCTCTTCCGGCAGGCCGGCGCTGCCGGAGTTTCAGCGGGCGGGGTGGACCGTGGCGCTGCTGGATCCTGCCTCGAGCACCCCGTTGCTTGTGCTCTTTGGCACGGTGCCGTGCGCCATGCTTCAGCGCTCCGCCATGGCTGAGTTTCTTGGAGGTGCACTCGCAGGTGACGTGGCAGATCGCGCGACAGGTCTCGATCCTGATTTCATAAGCGCGGTGCGAGCTGGTCAGACAGCTCGCAACGAGCAGGCTCTTGCGAAGAGCATGCGCTCGTGCGCGCAGGTGTTTGGGAGCAGCCCCCCAGGGAGGGAACGCACTCGAGCTTTACATCGTGCGAAGGCGCATAGGTCGGGTTCCGAGTGCGAGCAGCCAGGTTCAGTCGAGCGCCGCCTGACCGATGCGAATGCTAGCGCACATCCGTCTGCTAAACGCGCCGTGCAGTTCAACCCGCAGCCTTCTCCGGTGGTTATTGAGGCGTTCGGGAGCTCTGAGAGGGACGCTGCTCTGCTTTCTAAACTTGCCACTGCCGTCTTGTCCCGGCAGGAGCAGGAATAACCATGGCAGCGCTTTCCAGCATTTCGCAGGCAGAGGAACGTTCGAAGAGAAGGCTGGCACGCCTGGTGCTCCACCCCTTTTGGGGCCCAGTGCCGCGCGTGCCACGGGTGTTCCTCTGGACTCCCAGGACAGACCCCTGACGGAGTGCCGGGGGGGGCCCAGATTTCGTCCGAGCATTCCTCTGCTTCCCCATGGGTCATCCGCCTGTTGCTGCTCATCAGTCAGGTAGTAATCAGGAGGGGAAAAACACACAGACACAATCAATCGTCCACTCCCAGGAAAAGATGTGAAAATATGGGAAGCGGGGGGGAGGACAAACACTCAGAACATATAGGACAAGTATGGGGAATCCGTTTATATGTGTGTGCATCTATTTGTGTGTCCCATGGGCCCCTTTCACAGTGAGTGCTCCGCTCCGCCCGAGCAGAGCGATGCGCCCGTCTTCGCGCGGTGCGCGCGCTGCGTGCGGTGCGTGGGCCCGTGCCGGGGACGGACGCAGCAGCTCCGCAGCCCGTGCGCGCCCGCCCAGCTCCTCCACCTCCTCTTCGACCTCCTCCTCCTGCTCCTCGTCCTCCTCCTCCTCCACCTACTGTTCTACCTCCTCCTCCACCTCCTCTTCTACCTCCTCCTCCTCCTCCTCCTCCTCCTCCTCCTCCTCCACCTACTGTTCTACCTCCTCCTCCACCTCCTCTTCTACCTCCTCCTCCTGCTCCTCCTCCTAGGCGCGCGTTCCCCAAGGGGGACCGCGGTTTTGAGCAGTCCTCGGAGGGGGGGGGGGCCCCCCCACACGGGGGCTCGCCACACAGGTTTTGCCTGTTCCCAGGGGGGACAGAAACACACAGACACAATGAATCGTCGATTCCCCAGAAAATATGGGGAACATCTGGGCAGTGGGGGGGAAGACAAACACCCAGAACATATGGGAAAATATGGGGGATATCTTTATCTGTGTGTATGTATTTGTGTGTCCTGGGGCCCCTTGATGTTCTTCCGCTGGACCGCGTGGCACGGACAGCGCGTGCACCAGCGGCTGAAGCCACCAGCGTGTCTTTGGGGTCGAGTCCTGATGCAAGGTGCTCCTTTGAAGCTCGAATGGCCGCCCTCCACGAGCGAACTCGCCAGATGGAGTTGAGTTCCCGAGCGAGCTTCAGCAGAGAGTTTGCAAGCGGGTGTCGGTGTCCATACGGGCACCGACATGTGTGACATTTTCGTTGCGCCCTGAATTGTGGATGCGGGTACTGTAGTGGCAGAGAAATATTCGTGACATGTTCGTTGCGTCTTGTGCCGTCTCGTGGTGTAGCTAGTGGCGGAAGTGGCTGATGGGTATGGGCTGAAAAGACCCTAAGCGCCACCCGCTGGAACCCATGGGGTTGGCTGAAGCCTGGTCCGCCGGGGCCTCCTCGGCGCTTGTCTTGAAGACAAGACACAGTGATGTTCCATAGGTTTTTCAATGATGGTGGCCTCTTAGAGGGGCCCTTGGAGGGCTTGGAGTACACTTGAAACCGGCTTGGGCCGTCTTGAGGCCTCTTCGATGTGTGTCAGAGGCTATCTTGAACCATTTGAGGTATCTGAAGCCATCTGGGAGGCCATCGTGGGCTCTCTGAGGCCCTCGTGGAGCCATCTTGGGCCATCCTGGGCGCTCTAGCTACCCGCGCCTCCACCTCCCAGGCCCAGTGGAGGGGATATGGGGGAGGGGTCAAGGCATCCTCTAGACAGCAAGCCGTGTAGCTCACTCCCATCCGCCCTCCCAACACAGTAGTAACCCCCGAGCCTGAACATGTTCAGCGGTTGTCTTTGGATGGGCAGCTATCGGGAACCAACTCCGACCCTATGTGCGCGACGCTGGGGCGAGGTGCGCCACCCGTGTCACGCGCGTCACGCGCGCGAAACATCCCTGGGGCCCGAGCGTACCAGGTGCGCATGGTGAGCCAGATCCCAATCTACTCCAGCCGCGCCAGGAGCGCCACGTTAGGGACACGTGCAGAGTGTGTCAGGTGCTCCTGCGCACGTGACAGCACACATCGGGAAACATGTCGGCCCCCACCATCCACGTCGAAAACCGATACCCATCATTGTGTTTGGTGGGTCTGCGCGCAGCAGGTCCTGCGCCACCACTTGACAGTGATCGCGGGGCGGCCGCGCATGATCCAGATTTAGCCGCGAGGTGCATTTTTTGTATTGTTTTGTCGCAGGGATTGTCAAAGCACACTGCGAAGTGCTCACGGGTCTCACGAACATGACTCCAGACTTTGTCCCAAAGTGTATTTGGTATTCAATTGTTCCTGCCAGGGATGGTAGTGGGGGCCGCATCGGGTTGGCCGCACATGCTCCAAATGTGGAGGCAAAGGGTGATTTGTTTTGTTTTGTTTTGTTGCCATGGTGTCCTCATTGTTTCTGGTTGGCTGCCGGTCGCCTGGGGGAGGGGGTGTACATTAATAGGGGATAGTGATACACCCCTCCCCTGAGCAGGGGCAGGAGGGGTTTGGGCAGAGATGAGACACACATTGTCTTCAACCACCGACGCCCAGAGGGCTGGTGGGATTTGAAATGTGCAACCTAGACTGCGCAACATGGATTGCACTACGTAGGTTGCACCACCTATGTTGCTTCCCATGGATTGCACAACTTAGATACCTACAATCATGCTGATTGGGGTCCACGCTGGCTAACAGGATCCGGACTCTGGCGCGATTTGCCGTACACCTGTCTCGACGTCGTCTATCCAACAGGAGAGACCATTCCACTCCTCCGCGGTTGCATGAGTACTTTGTGCGGCAAGGTTGCATCCTGCACGTATGAATTGTATTGGGCTGGCCTCCGGCCCCAGTGCCGCCGATCCGGGGGGGTTGCGGAAGTGGAGTTTTTTATACCCCCCTGTCCCCGGGTACCGAAACACGTCGGAAATGACGTCGGAAATATCCTCGTGTACCGAACAACGTCGGAGATGAGGTCGGAAATAACGTACGCCCCCCCCCCCCCCCAGAGCGAAGCTTGAGCGAGCTCAAGTCCACGCTCTCAGAAGGTCACACGCCGGATCGGCGGATTTTACGTTCGAAGGTAAACGGGAATTCCAAGACGAGTGCTGCAGCGCCCGTGGAGCCGCGTCTCCCTCGCAGCCGGCTGGGGCCACTGCGGAGTGTTGTCGGCCCTGCCTGCCCTTCCTGCAGGGGGGTCCGCCGCGGGCTGCCCAGAGCCCACGGACGCGCGCGCGTGAAGACTTCGGTGAGCTGCATCGGGCCACGTAAGGATCCGTGTGTGTCTCTCGGCCCGGGCGGCGGTGGCCCAGGCGGCGCTGTGCTCGATGGGCCTGTTTTCCACCACCACCACCACCACTACAAGTAGGAGGGTGGAAGGAGGCGGAGGCGGAGGAGGAGGAGGAGGAGGAGGAGGAGGAGGAGGAGGAGGAGGAGGAGGAGGGAGGAGTAGGAGGAGGAGGAGGAGGAGGGGGAGAAAGAGGACCCCCTCCCACTCTCTCTCTCTCTCTCTCTGCCCTCGGACAGCAGCGATGACCCCCGCCCGGCGGCTCAGGCGCCCTGGTGCAGGTCCTCGGCGAGCTGCGGCGGCCGCCCCAGGGTCGCCCGCCCGCCCGCCCGCCGCTCGCCCGCCGCTCGCCCCGCCTCGCCGCCCGCCCGCCGCCCGCTGCCGCGCCCTTCGCTGCTCCTCGCCGCCGCCCGCCGCTCGCCCGCCGCCCGCTCGCCCGCCGCCGGCGTCGCCGCCCCGACGGCGCCAGCCGCTCGCTCGCCGCCTGCGGCCCCACGGAAGCGCAGCGCGCGCGGCCGCGGCCGTCGGCGGCCGGGTCGCTCGCAAGCGCAGGGTCCCAATATGCACTCTCGCAGGTCCGCGCGATCTTCGGGGATCGGCGCTGCCCCCTCCTGGCGGCGCCTGCGGCGCCGATGCGAGAAGTCCGCGCGGGCCTCCGAACAGTGATGTGTATGCCGTTTTTTCTTCTCCTGTTCATCGCCGCCGCTTGCTCGCCGCCGCCGCCTTCGAGCCTCCAGCCGCTTTTCGTGGAGAGCCGAACGCGGAAGTCGTCGTCCCTGTCCCCGTCCCCGTCGTCGACGTCGTCGTCGTCCTCGATGAATTTGTCGTGGTTGTCGTCGTCGTCGTCGTCGTCCTCGTGGTCATTGTGGCGTCCAGGTTGGGAGGACATGTAGGGAGCGGGGGAGCACCCTTCGGATCGGAAACAGGGAATGGGGGGTGTACCGTCCGTCCAGCGAATCACCCTGGAGGGGGGGCTTCGGGCCGGGGAAATCCGAAGGGAAACGGGGGGGCTTCACGAGCTGGAGGGATGACATATGTCCATGGCTGGATTGTGCAAACGGAGGTCGGCCCTGACACGACCGGTTACAGTTTGTGACGAGCGTGTTCAGATCTGCAAGTTTGCGACATCTTCAATGTCATGGGGATAGCTTGGAATGGCCATGCCGCCGTCGACACAAGGCCACCATCGCATCCATTGCTGCCAGAGACAGGGACGCGGGCACAGCCGTCGCCTGGAAACCCGCCTTGCTGCTCCAGCTTCGCACGAACGAGCGCCAAGGCACGGATGGATTTTCGAAGCCATGGATGGATTCTCCCCGATTCTCCTAGTCGTGACTGGGACTTGAATGCGGCCCTGGATGCGGCTCCACGCGCAGGACGCGCACCAGTACCCACCATGCCTGATGCGGTGTGGCCGGCCGTCCTCTGCCTGTCAGAGCGCCCCGTGGCCCACAGCAGGCCTCTGCGAGGGCCCCTGGCTGGACCGCCTCGCCTGCCCCACGGGAGTGGCCCGGGGGAGGCCCATGCCAAGAAACACCCTGCTTGCTTCTAGGGTTCCCTGGGCTTCTTGGGCTTCGATGGTTTTGCTGTGGAACGCGCGGCGTTCCCGCACCAAACATCCAAGGACTTCCTGGGCTCTCAGGGTTGGGTTTCTTTTGGGAGGTTTTTTGTGGATTGGCCTCCACTGTGCATTTTTGGATGCCTGCGTGGATCGGTTGGAGTCGCGCTGGATCCCTCTCGAGCACGCCAGGGGCGGCCAAGCAGGCGCTGGGGAGGGGGGTCCAGCGCCCACCCGAGAAGTCAGGGCGGTTCTCTGAGCATGCGCTCGACTTCACGTAAGAGTGACCCTTCGCCGGAGGGACCTCTGGTGCGGACCAGTGGGGACCCCCGATCGCAGAACGCGGGGCGGCAGTGCCGTCTGGCGCGCCCGTGTTCTGCGCCCCCCCCCCCCGCGGCCCCCGCAAAAGCCGCGCGCCAAAGGTCGCTCTTGACCCAGGGCCACTCTTGCGTGGAGCCGATGTATCTGAATGCCTGCCGTGCTACTTCTAGAGAGGCCGCCCTGAGTCGCAGCCAGGAGCGAAAGGCACCACAAGGCCTGGCGGCGCCTCCAGCGCCGCCGCCTGCGCGCTCCGCGCGCCACTGGAGGGGTGTCCGGTGCGGACCCGAGAAGTACGCGTGGGCCAGCTGCCGTGTACGTAGATGCCTTTCCTTGTTCGTCGACCTCCCCGGCCCTGTGCCACTGGGCGTCCGCCGCCGGTGGGGGAGGGGGGAGAAACGGCGATTTGCAGGGGTCGCGGCTCCTGGCAGTTGGCCGCGCCAACCAACAACGGGGCGAGGCCGGGCAACCTCCTGTGGGGCATTCGGGGGCACAGGGCCAGGCACAGCGCCCGAGTCCCAGCAGGTCTGGCAGAGCCTTCTGGCTGCTGCTCTCCAGTGGCCAGCGCCAGAGGAAGATCAAGCTTCGACTCGTCATGTGCCGTCTTCTTGGGACATCGCGCGCACCAGCCAAACGCTACGCCTCAGACGCCGCTGTTGAGGCCACTCCGTCCTGCAGCAGACTGATCGGCCCCACTCGAGACTTCACGTGCACAGTGTGTTTTTGCCGAGGCGCCGTCAGGGCGCGATTCCTGACTTGCCTTGATCCCCGCTGCGCCGTGGCACGTCAGCCCCGCCAGCCTGCCCCCGCCCGGTGGGGGTAGGCTCCCTGACGCCCGCAGGGAACCGTCGGCCATTGGGGCCGAGGCCATGCCAGTGGGGATGGGGATCGGTTGCAGTCAAGACGCTGAAGCAAGGACCGCCTGGAGCTCAGGAGGGGCTGCGATGTTCGGGCCGTTCCTCGGGTCGAGGTGCAGGAACCCATTCGTGGCCGAGGCTCGCCGTGACGAGAAGAGTCCCTTTTCGTTCCTTCTTCGGGGTGCCCTGTGTCCAGGCCTCCCAGGTGGGGTCCGAGTAGATACGGTCGGAGGATCGCGTCGCATCGCCGATGCATCGGCGATGCGGCTCGATGCGGGGCCCGATGATCTTCGCGCTGGCGTCGCCGATGAAGCGCCGACGTCGACGATGCATCGCCGGTGCATCGCCGATGCATCGCCGGTGCATTGCCGATGCATCGCTGATGTATCGGCGATACGGTGCGATCCACCGACCCCATCTACTCCGACCCCATCTAGGAGGCCTCTATTGTGGTAGCACGATGGCTGTAAACGATACTCCTCCCCTCGGGGAAATGTAAGGCTCGAGTAAGTCGGAACTCGGGTTCGCCGACTTTTTTTGACGAGCGCGTCCTGGATTTTGACGGTCCCGTTTTCGTGGGATGTCTGCAGCGGGAGCCCGCGTCGAATCTCAGAATGAGTTTCGTCACCTTGATGATGGCCCCCGTCAGGCCAACCCGGGATTCCCGTACCCGAGTCTTACGTCTCCCCGATCCTCGATTCGACTCCGTGCGGGCATCAGGGTTGATCTCAACGCCGCCCTCCCGCCCTGCCCCCCTCCCCCCAACGCCTTCGCCGCTGGGGGGTGGGAGGCGGACACGAACCTTGGGACAGCAGAATGCGAGAGCGGGATCGCCAAGGCAGCCTCCAGGCCTCCAGGGGGGAGGGGCACAACGCCTCATCCCACTCCTGCAGGGAGCTCTGTGAGAGGAGGGAGGAGGAGGAGGAGGAGAGAGAGAGAGAGAGAGGAGAGAGAGAGAGAAACCAAACAAACAAACGAACAAACAAACAAACAAACAAACACACAAACACACAAACAAACAGACAACCAAACAAACAAACAAACAAACAAACAAACAAAACAAAACAAAAGGGGAGCGACGAAACGGCGGGGGCTGCGCGGGGCCTGCGACGAAAGGATGCTTCCCCTCCTCCTCCCCCCCCCCTCCTCCTCCTCCTCCTCCTCCTCCTCCTCCTCCTCCTCCTCCTCCTCTCCTCCTCCTCCTCCTCTCCTCCTCCTCCTCCTCCTCCTCCTCCTCCTCCTCCTCCTCCTCCTCCTCTCCTCCTCCTCCTCCTCCTCCTCCTCCTCCTCCTCCTCCTCCTCCTCTCTCCTCTCTCCCTCCTCCTCTCTCCTCCTCCTCCTCCTCCTCTCCTCCTCCTCCTCCTCATCCTCCTCCTCCTCCTCCTCCTCCTCCTCCTCCTCCTCCTCCTCCTCCTCCTTCCTCCTCCTCCTCCTCCTCCTCCTCCTCCTCCTCCTCCTCCTCCTCCTCCTCCTCCTCCTCCTCCTCCTCCTCCTCTCCTCCTCCACCTCCTCCTCCTCCTCCTCCTCCTCCTCCTCCTCCTCCTCCTCCTCCTCCTCCTCCTCCTCCTCCTCCTCCTCCTCCTCCTCCTCCTCCTCCTCCTCTCTCCTCCGGGTGGCACGGGTGGCCAGTTTGCCAAGTTTCTTGTCCTCCGACGAGTTGCCTTTGCCTTTGTGCGGCTCCGTCCTAGCGATGACTTTGACTGGATTGTGGAGTCACAGGTGTACTCGACTCGGTTCGACAGACGGTCCCCCGCGCAGAGCTTGCGGCCATTGTTGAGTGCCTTCGATGCGTTGACCCTGCCCAAGATCTGCGCGTGGTCACCGACCATGCCAATATTGTCAATGGTTTCCAGGCTGGCCGAGCGGCCTCTGCGAGGCTGGCTAATTTTGATCTCTGGTGGGAATTCTGGCAGCTCCTCTCGGAGCGATCTGGGGACTTCCAGGTTTCTCATGTTCCCAGCCACCTGCTGGAGGATTCCCAAAAGCTCGCCCGTTTTGGCGACTCTGTAGACTGGGACCATGTTGTGCTCAACTCTGTTGCTGATGAGCTTGCTGACCTGCGTGCTCTTGAATGCCAGGTCCCTAATGGAGTTGTTCAGGCATATAATGAGCTCGTCGCCAATGCCTGTGCTATCCTCAAGCGTAATGCCTCTATCATTCTCGAGTGTGCTGCCCTCAAGGCCGAGCCTGATCGCAGGCTGCGCAAGCAGCCCATTGATCTTGTGCTCCGCAGGCGTCGGTGGATCGACGCCGATGTGAGGGGTTCGTCGCACGTTTGGGAGTTCGGTTCTGGCGTTTGGACTTGTGGGATGTGCAAGGCTTCGATCTCCGATGTTGCCCCCTCGCTCCGCGCGAGGCTCCGCTCTGCTTGCCCTGCTTATGGAGGAGGTGGAGTTGGGAGTTCGGTTTCGGTGGAGGCGGAGGAGGTCACTGTTAAAAAGTGGGCGAGGCCAGGTCGGGCCCTGGCCGCCAGGGACGACTCCCTCTGGCGTCGCCTGAGGCTTGACCCGCCCCCACAGCGAGCTGCGCCTTGGGTCGCTGGCAAAGCGGTCCACCCTGCACACGTCTTGTGGCAGAAAGGTGCGTTCACCTTTTGCGGCGAATGCGGCTCGTGGGCAATAGCTCGCCCTGACTCCCTGCGGGAGCCTTGTCCTGTGGCCGCGCTTGGACCGCACGCCAAAACTAAGCACCAGCTCGAGGTTTCACAGCGGGTTTGCAAAGGCCTCCCGCCGTCTAAGACCTCCAAGAGCTGGATGCCGTAATTCCTTTTCCCTGCCAGGCAACCCCTGCATCTCTTGCACTCTGGAGTTTGGTTGGCAGCGGTGCACTGGAATGGATCCTCCTCTCTCTCTCCTCCTCCTCCTCCTCCTCCTCCTCCTCCTCCTCCTCCTCCTCCTCCTCCTCCTCCTCCTCCTCCTCCTCCTCCTCCTCCGGGTGCGCGGCGCGCGGCCGAAGGGAACCGTCCACCGCAGGGACGCTCGCTCTTCCTCCTCCTCCTCCTCCTCCTCCTCCTCCTCCTCCCCTCCTCTCTCCTCTCCTCTCCTCCTCCTCCTCCTCCTCCTCCTCCTCCTCCTCTCCCTCCTCTCTCCTCCTCCTCCCCTCCTCCTCCTCCTCCTCCTCCTTCATCATCATCATCATCATCATCATCATCATCATCATCATCATCATCATCATCATCATCATCAATCATCATCATCATCATCATCATCATCATCATCATCATCATCATCATCATCATCTCTCCTCTCTCCTCCTCTCTCCTCTCTCCTCCTCATCTCTCCTTCTCTGTGTCCCCCCTCTGGGAAGCTGTGGACTCCTCCGAGATCCTAATACCTCCTCGTCGTCCTCCTCCCCCCCTCCCCGTGCACACGCGACCGCGAACATGACGACACTGAGGATGAGGATGAGGATCAGGATAAGGATAAGGACAAGGATGCTGCTGCTGATGATGCTGATGGTGATGACGATGATGCTGATGCTGCTGCTGGCGCTGATGATGATGATGATGGTGATATGCTGGCGATGAGGATGCTTCTGATGGTGATGATGAGGGTGAGGATGATGGTGATGGTAATGGAGACGATACTGATGACGATGATGATGCGGGTGATGATGAGCATCCTGTTGGTAATGATGATGCTGCTGACGATGATGATGCCGGTGACGATGGCGATGTCGATGGCGATGGCGACGATGACCATACGACTGCTCGTAAAGATGAAGATGCTGATGCTGCTGATGATGATGATGCTGCAAGGGAAGATGCTGTTGATGATGCTGGCGATGCTGACGACGATCATGTTGATTATGTTGCTCATGATGTTGCATATGATGCAGATAATGGTGCTGCTGATGATGATGGCGATGATGGCGACAACGATGATGATAATGATGCTTCTGCCGCTGATGAGGCTGATGATTATGATGATGATGCGGACGTGGGTGCTGATGCGGGCGCGGATGATGATGCTGATGTTGATGATGATGCTTATGCTGATGTCGTTGCTGATGCTGCTGTTGATGATGCTGATGCTGGTGGCGATGCTGTTGTTGATGATGATGCTGATGAGGACGACGATGATGATTCTGATGACGATTATGATGGTGGTGATGCTGATGACTGGGTGAGATGATGATGGTGATACTGATGATGGTGGTGATGATGATGATGCTCATGATGATGCTGATGATGCTGCTGGTGATGATGCTGATGGTGATGATTACGCTGGTGATGGTGATGGCGATGGTGATCGTGATGATGATGCTGGTGATGCTTCTGCGCGTGCTGGTGGTGCTGATGCTTGTGATGGTGATGATGATGATGATGATGATGCTGATGATGACGATGATGGTGGTGATGATGATGATGATGGTGATGGTGATGGCGATGGCGACGAGGCAGAGGAGACGGTGGAGGAGGAGGCGGAGGAGGAGACGAAGGAGGCGCGGGGGAGGAGGAGGCGGAGGAAGAGCAGAAGGCGGTGGGAGGTGCAGGGAGCATCAAGATGAGGAGGAGGGAGAAGGTTCGATGGATGGAGGATTGAAGAGGATGGTGATGCTGATACTGATGATGATAATAAAGATGATGCTGAAAGTGATGATGGTGATGATGATGACGATGACGATATTGATGATGCTGATGCTGATGATGCTGTTTATGTTGATGATTATGTTCTTATCATCAGTGCTGATGGTGATGACGATGACGACGACAATGTCGACGATGACAATTATGCTAATGATGATGCTGAGGCTGATTTCGATGATGACGATCATGCTGATGATACTGATGATGCTGATGCTATTGATGATGATGGTGGTGGTGATGATGCTGATAATGATGATGATCAGGATGTTGATGATGATGATAATGATGATGATGATGATGATGATGATGATGATGATGATGATGATGATGATGATGATGATGATGATGATGATGATGTGAATAATGGTGGTGGTGGTGATGGTGATGATGATGCTGCTGCTGATGATGATGATGCTGCTGCTGCTGCTGCTGATGATGATTGTGATTTGATGATGAGGACGACGAGGAGGAGGAGGAGGAACAGGATGGATAGGAACACTATGAGGAGTAAGAGAAGGAGGGAGGAGGTGAAGGCCGCCGCCCTTGGTGCCCTGTGCATCCCAGACTCGTCGGGGCAACACCCAGGAATGTTCCCGTGCCGCGTTCCCTGAATCCCTGCTGGACTTCTCCTTGGTGCGCCTGGACTCGCTTCGAGGGGCCGGCCGTGGCGCTCTGAAGCCTTCCACCAGGGCCCCGATCTCAATCGTCCGAATCCTCCTCCGCGCAGTCCAGGCGACCTGCTGCTGCGGGCGAGGATTGTCCGCCCCGCCGACGGGCTGGACATGGGCCTCTACGAGAGGTGCCTGCAGGCCCCACCCGTGCGCGCAGACGAGATGCCCGGGGGAGGGGCACCTCTTACGGCGGGCGCGGGGAGGTCCTCCCTCCTCTCTCTCCGTCTCCCCACTTCTCGTCCTTCCCTCCTTGCCCCCCCATCCCCCCCTTTTTGTTCCTCTCTCCTCCTCCCCCCTGCTCGTCCCTCCCTCCTCGACCTCCTCCTCCCTCCTCTCCCTCTGCCCTCCGCGCGAGGGAGGGGTGAAGAAAGGACACAATGAAGAGGCGGATGGACAAAACACATTGGGGAAACACGGACGTCAAGAGGGGGAGCACGGACCGTGGAATGAGACGGGGCGCGCGGAAGGGGCGAGGGTGGGAGGAAGAGGAGGGGGATGAGGAGGGTGGGACGGACGGGGGGGAACGGGACGAGAGTGAGGAGGGTGAGGAGGGGCGGTGGAGGCCAGGAGGAGGAAGAGGAGGAGGGAGGAACCGGATGAATTCTTGTGGGGGATGCGGAGGCGGAGGCCGAGCAGGAGACGTATGGGGCTAGGACTCCTGGGAAGTGCGCGCAATGATTTTTGGGCTTGAAGGGGGCTTTAAAGGTTTCGAGGGGGAGGAGGAGGGGGAGGGGGAGGAGGAGGAGGAGGAGGAGGAGGGGGAGGAGGAGGAGGAGGGAGGAGGAGGAGGGGAGGAGGAGTAGGCGTGGAGGACCCGAGTAAATACAAGATGCATCAGTGATGCTGCAAGAGGCCCTCTCGTCCCAGCTTCCCTCCTCGTGCAGGCCTCTACAGGATTTCCACTGCCCTGCAGCAGATGGCCCCAGTGCAGAGCCAGCGCCCCAGTGGTCTGCCATTCAGTCCCCTGAGGATTTCTCCTCCTCCTCCTCCTCCTCCTCCTCCTCTTCCTCCTCCTCCTCCTCCTCCTCCTCAGTCCTGAGGTCTGCCCAGTGAGTTCAGTCCTTGGCCCAGCGGGGTCCCCGTGCCGAAAACGAAACGACTTGGCATCCTTCCTGCGCGTGATCGAGAAGGCGGCACGCAACGATCATACCGTTCGGCGGCATTCCCAGCGCGATCTCCATACAGTGCCGTTTTTGATGCATGCTCCGCGTGCGCATCATGCACGAAAAATCAAGGGATCGAGCATTGAAAACAACGAGGAGTTCATGCACAACTTTCGTCATACGTGAATCATGTATGAAACATCTGATGTTTTAAATCCCATGTGTTCACACCTGCCCTGTATTGTCGAGTCCGAAGGGTGGACGAAACCGTTGGAGGCGGACATCTCCACGCGAAGGCGAGGCCTCGGTCCAGTTCCTGGGCGGTCTGGGGCTCCAGGTCAGCCAGCCGTGTTCTTTCGAAGTCTATGCCTCGGATTAAGCCGGGCCTGTCCCCCTACAGGGGGAGTGTCGACTAAAAATAACAAATACCCCAAACATAATCCAAATATAGTCTGGGGGATTCTCGACGAAAGGTTAAAAATACCCAAACATTAGCAAAACATGCTCCAAACATAGTCTGGGGACTTATGTTTGAGTGTTGTTTTTTGCCGGGGCATGCTTGGGGTATTTTTTATTTTTCGTCGAAAACCCCCCTGTAGGGGGACAGGCCCGACGTAAGCCTGGGAGTTTGGCGACTCTTCTCCACTCGGCTGGCGGGGGTCACGCCGAATAGATCGATGGAGGCAACTCCCTGCGCAAACCGATCTGAATCCAGGCAGATCGAGGTACATCCAGAGATCTCCAGGCCAGTCTGGGGAAATCGTGGACGCTCCCGCGCGAGTCCAGGGACAGTAGAAGTCGTCAAGCTCTCAACGAGTTCTCACGAGCTTAGAGAATATATTTTCGAGGTTCCTTTCGAAACTCCAGGTTAGGGGATCTAAGTTATTATGCCATCCATTCTTGATTCCACTGTGGTCTGTAGAGTGGTGGGGGCCTGATCATTCAGTCCAGTCTGGGGTCCACGTCTTCGTTTAGCGGGGCGCGCTTGTTTGGCTTGCCTTTCCGCTTATTCTGCGGACCATCAGCGGTGTGCGGGTGACGTTATTGTTGCGGTCAATGTCGTCGTCTGGGACGCTTGACCTCCTCCTTGTCTTCGTTCCTCTCTCTCTGTTCTCTTCCTCTCCGCCTTCCTCCTTCTCCGCCCCCTCCTTCCTCCTCTTGAGCTACCATATTGCACAGCAGTTCGGATGCCTCGTTTAAGTTGGTGGTCTGTGGTGGATGGGAGCTCCTATGGCATTCGTGCTCTGGCACCTGCCCCTCGCGCTCCTGCTCCAATTATCATGCTAGATACCTAAATCAATCAGCAACTAGAAACAAATGTGATACTTGACACCTGCAGGGCCAATCTCGGTCCGATCGATCCGATTCGATATCGACTCCGGCCCGTCCGATCCGATTCGGTTCCGCCTCTCCGGCGATCCGAAGCGGACCGCACTTTGTGAATGTCTTGGCGCGACTATCTGATGCGATTTGAACTGCGTGCCGATGCGGCCCGATGTCAGGCGGGGCTAGAACCAGAATTTGTCGTTGCGGAGCCTTCCGGAACGCTCTCAGAGCGTTCTGGAGCGCTCTGGATCGGCTGCGGCGCCCGATGCATCCTCCGGAACCGCCAGATCTCAGAGATCCCCGACTCTTCCTGGTCCAGTCTTGCTCAGGTCCTGGCTTCGTCGTATCATTCAGTCCCGATTCGATGCTGATGGATCTTGCCCGTGCCAGGTCCGGCGAGAGTTTGAGGCCTATTACTGCCCCGCGGGGCTGCCCGCGACGAGAACAGGGTGACGTGCGCGGGCGGCGCGCGCGGCCGCAGAGAAGAGATCTGAGGGGTTCGCGGCCAGGAGGAGGAGGAGGAGGAGGAGGAGGACGACGACGACGACCACGACGTTGACGACGAGGACGATCACGACGACGATGACGACGATGCTGACGATGGTGATGGTGATGGTAATGGTGACGCTGATGATGATGATGATGATGATGATGATGATGATGATGATGATGATGATGATGATGATGATGATGATGATGATGATGATGATGATGATGCTGATGCTGATGCTGCTGCTTATGATGACGATGATGACGATGATGCTGATGATGCTGATGAGGATGATGAGGATGATGATGTGAAGGAGGATGATGGTAATGTCGCTGATGATGATGAGTATGCTGCTGATGATGATGCGTACTTCGATCATTGCGATTTTGATGACGATAATGACGCTGACGCTGACAACGATGATATTGATGATGACGATACGGATGATGATATGCTGATGATGACGACGATGATGTCTATTATGATGATCATGATGGTGATGGTGATGGTGTTGCTGGTGGTGATCGCAGTGATGTTGAATATGCATATGAAGATGATGCATGATGATGGCGATGATGATGGTGATGAAGATGGTGAGGCTGTTGATTGCGATTATGACGATTTCGATGATGATCATGACGATGATGACGATGCCACTGACAATGACGATGTCAATGATGATGCATATGGTGATCATGGTGCCGATGCTGATTACGATTTTGATGATGCTGATGATGATGACGATGATGATGTTACTGATGATGTCAATGCTGGTGATGATGAGTAGGGTGATGCTGATGAGGTTGCTGCTGCTGATGATGATGATGATGACGCTGATGATGATGCTGCTGCTGATGATGATGAAGATGATGATGATGATGATGATGATGATGATGATGATGATGATGCTGATGCTGATGCTGATGCTGATGATGATGATGATGATGATGATAATGATGCTGGAGGAGGATCACGAGGAACAGTACTAATACCATGAGAACGATGGCATTGTGATGCCCATCGGATTCGTGCGCATCTTCCTAGGTTTGGGCTGTATTCCCACCTCGGCTCTCCAGTGGTCTCTGCCAGGCCTCTGCCTGCAACGACTCCGTGGGGTCGCCATCGCCGATTCGTCTTTTCTGCTTCGCAGTGCAGCGCGATGCCGATAACAACTGAAATGCCAACCGAAGGGCAACATACGGCACAACTCTGGCCTGGAGTTCCGCGCGGATTTATTGTTACGCGCCAGGGTGCGCGCGCGCGCGCGTGTGTGTGTGTGTGTGTGTGTGTGTGTGTGTGTGTGCGTGTGCGTGCGCGTGTGCGTGTGCGTGTGCGTGTGTGTGTGTGTGTGTATGTGTGTGTGCGTGCGTGCGTGCGTGTGTGTGTGTGTGTGTGTGTTTGTGTCTGTGTGTGAGACCATTCTTTAATCCACCAAAGGGATAACGCATGTTACCCCCCTTCCCCCCCGTAGCGGTAACGTCCCGGCTCCGATCCAGCGTGCGATCCCGGGCAGCCTAGGGGTCTGTTGTGCACGCGGGCGTGCACTACGGTGCACGCAGGCAGTGATGTGTGTACGGGCGTGTTGGCGCACGCATCTGTCGTTGCAGCAGCAGCAGCCGTGGTGTACGCAGGCATAAAGGGTGTACGCAAGCATAGTGGTGTACACATCACAAGCCCTATGGTGTACGCAGCCGCCGTGGTGTACACAACCGCTGTAGTGCGCAAGGTCGCTACGATGTAAGCGTGCGTTGTGGGCTATACTGGACCCGCGCACATCTTCGCACTTCTTCCTCCTCCTCCCTCTTCGTTCCCGTGCACACAGTCGTTGCGTTTCACATTCGCTGTGGGCTCAAAATGTCCAAGCGTTCCTCGGCCCAGAAACACCAATAATCACAATCAGATCGTAAGGTTGGATATGATACATTTGGCCCACCAGCAATTTCCCAGACTTTGGCTCCGTCGGGACCGTGGAGGTGTACGCAAACTTTGTGGTACACGCAGGCAGTAGTGTGCATGCGGAAGGGGTGCTGAAACAGCAGCTGTGGTGTCAATGATCACAAGCGTTGCGGTGCAGACGGCTGCTGTGGTGGACATCGGAGTTGCTGCGTGTATAGATGTGTTCTCCCGAAGACAAGTATCGCTGCCATCGTGGTTCCCAGAGTGGGGGCTAGCGGGAGTTTCCTGCCGTTTTTCTTGGTGCGCCTCCCGCTGCGCCTCATTCTGCTCCTCCTGGGCCTCCTCCGCTGACGCTCGCGCCGCTCCCGCTCCCGCCCCTGCCGCTGATCCTGTTGCTGCCGCTCCTGTTGCTCCTCCTGCTGCCTCTCCTGCTGCTCCTCCTGCTGCCTTCTCTGCTGCCCCTCCTGCTGCTTCTTTCGCTGCGCCTCCTTCGGCGACGGGCCTGGGGGGAAGTGAGAGGGGCGCGAGCTTCTCAGAAGGCTGGCCTTCCGAAAAGTATTGGAAGTCCCGCCGCCTCCTGAGAAGGCCCGACCTCTTTCACCTTCCCCCCAGGGTTCGCCGCCGATTCCTGCTGCTGTTTTTTTTGTTTTGATCCTCCCGTTACACACGGTTCTTGCACCGTCGTGCGAAGAGGCTGTGGTGGCCACGCGCCCTTTGGTGTCGCATTTCGTGACCCCGTCCCTCTAAGAAGAAAAACGCATAAACATGACCTTTCGACGGTCCGCGCGGATTCCTTGGATCTGCGCTGGGGCTCCCTGGCGGCGCTTCCGGCGCCAGGGAGCCCCAGCGTGCAATTCTCGAGCAAGGTGGGGCGCCACTTCCATGAAGTACAACTAACAACTGATCACGCTGCTCCTCCAGAGAGAAGGGGCTCCAGTTGCGCAGGTCGACCTGGACACGATGGCGAGTGTCCCGCTGTACGTCCCCACCTGGGACCGCTCGAAACCGTCCGGTTTCTTGCTGGACTCCGAGGGCCAGCGCGCCTTTTCCACGCTCGACCACTCCTTCGCATGTGCCCCCAAAGTAGACATCGTCCCCATCGGCGAGCCCCCCGCGAACGCGAACCCCGTGGAGACAGCCTGGCCGGCCCCAGGTGCCCACAGCACGATTGGGGCACCAAGACTTGTTCCTCAGGCCGTACCCGTACATGCGCTTGTTCCTTTCCACACGCGGCGAATACCTCCTGATTCCTCTGCGCGCCATCCAAAGCTTTCGAAGGCAGATGTCGTCTTCCATGGGAGTGATAATGGATGCGATTTCGCACCTGGTAGCTTCGTCGTGCAACGCATCCTGGGCCGCGTCTGGAGGAAACATTCCCAGTGCATGTCGTTCTACGGGGCGCACGCCGCGAATCATAGTTCGCGGCATTTGGAAGCCGAGATCCCTTTGTCAATCGTCGCAGGGCCATCCAGGGCCACTCCTTCGGGCGCACGGGTTTCCAGGGGGACCCCACGCAGCCTGGCGCTGCCGAGGAAAAGGGTGAGGCCCTGTTGCGCCGGATCACGAACCGCGGGGTCTCCGAGCTCGTCTCGATTCTCCAAGGGTGCACAGACGACCGCGGTAAGGCGTGGACGCTGCACCCTCGCTCGCCCAAAGAATTGGACCAGCCCGAAGACCTCCACGGTCCACATGGGGCACTCCCGATGGAGTTCTAGTCGCTCCAGAGCGAGAAGCGAAGGGAGGACGGGCAATTCGAGGGCCTCCACCGCGAGGCGCATGATTTCGCCTGGGACATGACCAGGCGCCATACTTTCTTTTCTTTCAAGGTGCGCGCGGGAGACAGGAAGTGCCAGCAGTGCAAGGTAGCCATCACCGCCAGGATGGACGCCACTAGTAGTAGTAAGTCGTAGTAATAGTAGTAGTAGTAGTAGTAGTAGTAGTAGTAGTAGTAGTAGTAGTAGTAGTAGTAGTAGCAGTAGTAGTAGTAGTAGTAGCAGCAGTAGTAGTGTTAGTGGTAGTAGTAGTAGTAGTAGTAGTAGTAGTAGTAGTAGTAGTAGTAGTAGTAGTAGTAGTAGTAGTAGTCGTAGTAGTAGTAGTAGTAGTAGTAGTAGTAGTCGTACGAGTACGACTATTACTAGTCGTAGTAGTAGTAGTAGTAGTAGCAGCGGTAGTAGCAATAGTAGTAGTAGTAGTAGTAGTCTTAGTCGTAGTAGTAGTAGTAGTAGTAGTAGTAGTAGGAGTCGGAGTAGTAGTAGTAGTAATAGTCGTCGTAGTGGTAGTAGTA